GTCTACCCAGCCAGTCATGTCATCGTAGAAAGCTATCAGATTGGTCAGGCATGATTTCCCCTTGGTGAATCCATGCTGACTACTCCTGATAACCTTCTTTTCTTCCACTTGCTTCATGATGGCCTCCAGGATAAGCTGCTCCATCACCTTTCCCAGGATGGAGGTGAGGCTGACCGGCCTGTTGTTCCCTGGGTCCTCCTTCTTGCCCTTTTTGAAGATTGGAGTGACATTGGCCTTTCTCCAGTCCTCGGGCACCTCTCTGTTGCTGTCCTCTTCCTCTTACCTCTGTCAGTGAGCATCTCCTCCTCCCCTGCTACCAACCTCATGACTACCTGTATGCTCATCTATTCATCCTACAGTGTTTTTGCGCTGTTTGCATATGATAAATCCTGCTGCTGTCACGTACTGTGTAACTCCAGGAAGTGTGGCAGAAGACCAGCTTGTCTGAGACACATGACAAAAAGTAGAATTTAAAAATCTACTCATCCAGAACCACAGCTGTACAAAAGGCCGTTTCCTCACTTGTGTACCAAGGAAAGAGCTCATCCGATGTGGTGACAGCAGAGCCCTGCAGCGTGCGTGGGCGAGAGCCCCGCGAAGGATTGGAACATGTGTGATGCAGGAGGAGGAGGGTAAAAGCAGGAGATGGGTATTGGCATATGTCAGTGAGAAAGAGGTGGTTTGGCTTTCTGCAGAGCGTAGGAAGATAATGATTCCTTGTGTGTGTGTGTTGCAAGACCAGCATTGCAGAATAAAGGGATGCTCTGCCTAGGGAGCTAAACTGGCTGCTCTTTAAGAGCTTTAATAGCCTTCCTTTTTTCTTTCCAAAGCTCCTGTCACCAGGAGCTCTCCGACTCCAGCTGTAAGACAGAGTGTGAAGCATTCAAGATCGTTTCTGAGTGCTCTGTTGCCAACATCTGCCCAAGGCCTCCAGAAGCAGTAGGCACCAGGTCCCAAGCTGTGCCTGGCTGCCTGTGCCTAAGCTTAGCTCCCAGCTTTTCCAAGGCTTTAGTTTGCACTTTTGCTCTCTTGCAAACATCCTTTGTCCTTTCCCTTTCCCAGCACACTTGGTCTCTACCAAGTTAAATGGGAGCTTAAGGCAATGATACCCAGACCCCTGACTGCAGTTTAAACCCACATTTAGAAACATGATAGAGCAGCTCGCCAAGCAGCCTCTTCTCTCCAGGGCAAGGTAAAAGGTGCGCAGCAGCACAAGCTGATCCAACATGCAATCTAGTGGGCTGGATCTCAGAAGGAACTGCCTGTCAGCCCTCTTGTGTCTGGGGTGGTGCTGATGAGACCAGACACTAAGCCGCTCAGCCAGCCGAGTGCCCAAAACTCAAAAAAGTTTCATTTTCAGGCAGCTCCATTCCTCCACACCACTGTGGGATCACGCAAATACCAGTGTGAGCACTTCATAGAGGGTGGGACTGCACAGCCAGGGGGCACGGCAGAATGGCAGCCACCACCATTCAGCTTGGTCTGAACTGCCCTGAAACAACACCCTGCAAAGAGCATTAGATGAGCAGCAGTCAAGAATGGAACCACCATCTCCCATATCAGCTCCTTGTTTTGTTTTGGTTTCGTTTTGGGTTTTTTTTCAGTTTCATTAATTCCTGCTTTTCAAGAATCGGCTGAATTATCTGGAAACACAAGCCTTTACTGCTGACAGGGAAAGATGACATAATCTCCACAGTCATTTGCATCCAGGCTTAGTTGAGAAAAACCATGTAGTCCATATAGATCCCGTTAATAAGACTATAAAGGTTACTACTCCCTTCCTTCTGGCACACAATAGTGGCACATCCTTCACCTCAAAGCATTTGTTTTCCTGCTTCCCCCAGCAGACCATCCCCAGTAGAACCTTAAACAGGTATTTAAACTAAGAGGATAGTGGTGAAGAAGGATCAGCTGTGAGCAAATAAGATGCCTGCTCCATGGTCCTAGTGGGTGGAAGATTCTCCACCACTTCATTCTGCTACTCAGACCCCCTTTCCCTTCATGCATTTGGTTATTTAGAGGGTTGGCAACAAATAATCCATCAAAAAAGCTAAAAGATCAAAACCACAAAAGTAGAAAGATGGGAAGAAAAGGAGGGAGCAAGAGAATGTAGCAGATAAGGCTGAATGGAAACAGACCCAAAAAGCCCAGGTAAGCCCTCCTGGCTCCCCTGCGTTGCCAGGCTGGGGCTGGCTCCTCCATACCACAGCCCTCAGCAACCCACAAAGCAGAGAAGACTAGCTACAGTCAGCCTGGCAGGCAGCAAGGACCAAACGAGGTGTTTGTAGGCTTAAACCACCAAATACTGCCTTCCGTGTTGTAGCCCTTTCTGTCCCTCTGGTGAGTGATTTTACTCCCTTCGTTCCCACCTTCTTGCGCTACCTGACAGACTCATTCAGCCCAGCAAATTAAACCAGGTCCATACATCACAGAAAACTTTCAGTTTATATGCATAAGCCTAGAATTAGGAAAAGCCCACTGAGCCAAGCAGAACCAGGGGACTGGAGTTCAGGAAGGACACCTGACATCACGTGGGAGGACAGCAGGCAGGTCAGAGACCGAGTCGATGCTCCCAGAGCAGGGAATCACCTTTTACAAAAGGGAGGAATACTGTGCTGATGAGCCTGTGCTCTCTCCTGACCTGCACTCCTCTCCTTGGCAGCCTGTCACTAGGGAGATTAACAACTGCCTGCTTTCCCCGGTTCAAAGCAATTCTGAAAAAAGAGCTGGAGCAAGAGGCTGGCAAAGGAGATTTGACTCCTCCCCACAACACATTCAAAGGGGAAAAATATTCCACATAAAAGGCAAGGACTGGGGAAAAAGATAACTGAGATCAGTATGTAAGCCATACATGAGGGGAAGGGGCTGTTTTCCCTCCTTCCTTTCCACCAAGGAAATTTCAATGGGAGGAAGACAAATAATGAAAAAAGCCATCAAAGCAAGCTGGTGATTCATTAAAATAAAAAATGCATTATGCATTGAGAGCAGTCAATTAGGAGATGTAAACTGCATACTGTCCTGTCACCCTAGGGGAAGCACAAGCAAGGCGAGTGGGAGGAAAGGATAAGTAGAAAAGGAAAGATTTACAGGCATAAACAAAACCCAGCTATGACCCCAAGCTGAGCAGCTTGTAGGAAGGAGCAGCCATCACTAACCCACGCGGAATAGCTGGGACCAGACTTGTGTCTCTGGATTACTATGCAGAGGGTGAACACACCTACTCTCTAGACACAGAGTGGTGTCAACTGCGACATTACCACTTTGAAAAAAGCGGGATATTGGTGCCAAATGACTAAAGAAAAGATCCACCAAAAGATCCAATCTGATGTAAAGATACATCAGATTCCCAGAGTGGAAGGCAAATTCTGGGAAGCTTCAGAAGCAAGTCCTTTTCTTCCCTGGGCTCAGTGCAAGCTGAGTGCAGTGAGGGAGCGCACAAAGAGTTTCCAGTCTCCTCTAGGACACCCACAGCCCTCTCCTTGGGTACTACTCCCCTTCTTTCGCTCCCCATATCATGCAAGGGGTCACTGCAGGACCAGTGAGAGTGTGAACAGGCCTGCTAAGCCCAATCCCAACAAACCTCCCCTTCCTGCTTTCTAAGATCTGACAAATACACCATTCCAAAAAGAGATGATCTGGATCACCCTCCCGAGCCTGCCCCTCTGCCTGGGCTCTGGCACCTCATTAGGATTCTGCATGACACTTTTCAAAGCCTGCATCCCTCATTGAGATGCTGACAGACAACTGGAGAACATAAAATGCTCCCTCCCCTGCGAGGGGGCATTCTAGCCTGTGATTTCTGCTATGACTCTATCAGCGTCCACTTTAATGAGGCCATCTACTATTGCCGAGGTCCTGGTGACTGATGTCTGAGCTGCTACCTCAGCCTCCAATTGCTCAGCCCCTCCTCTTCTTTTCCCAGCTGCAGACTTCCTCAGTTGACAAAATGAGACAATGAGCAAGACTTGCAGGACGAAGTGCACCAAATTCCCAGTACTGCAGCTTCTAGCAAGTATTTGTCAGCTGAAAATCAGTTCAACAGCTAAAAGCAAGCATGTTTAGCTGACAGGATTTGGGAATACATCATGAAGGTTCATGGTATCTTAGCAATTTCCTGGGCTTTGTAACAGATGTTTTTGTACAGGGTAATTTGGGTCACTTTCGATCAGCCAGTGTCCCTGGCATGCTGCCACAATTCCTCTTACATATATACTGTCTGAGCTGCACCTCTCTTTTGTCCAATCTCCTACATCCTTCTCTCTCTCGATACTTCTGTCAGCCCTGGCCTTTCCTCATGAGGAGGGACTGGACTGCCTTCTAATGAAACCACGACATAGATGAATCAAGCCCACTGAGGACTTTACTGTTGAGTACCTCTGTGCCCTCCTTGAACAACACTGCATGCAGGTAAAGGAACTGCATGTCTTAGAACTTTCTGAGTGTAGTCCAGCTTCTAGCAGAGCTGAGAAGAGTTATATTACACCCTTAGGAGTCTGTCACCTCCCTTAGCTTTCCCAACCCATTCCATTTGTTTTGCTTCCTAGTCCCTTTTATAACATTCTTGTTTAAAAATGAGGATGCAAAAAATGAGTTTTACAGTAAGAATGAAGATTCTGGAAAACAGCTTTTCCTAATCTTTTATGACTTCTCATGTTTCCTTACCTTTTCCTCCTCCCAGCCTTCCTGTTTGGTCTCAGTTCGCAGGTAAAATACAAATCCATTTAGTGCATAGCAATATGCATCATAGAAATTATGTATGACAAATGATTATAACAATGCTAAGGACAAAACTCTAATCATACTTTTCCTCTGGGTTTCCAAACTGTTTTCTGAAGAGAAAACAGAGAGGAGCTGTACCACATCCTTTAGAGAACAAGGACACTGCACAAACTGTATCTTAGCAACAAACGAATTAATAGTGTAACTTCCTAGTTTGCTCTACAGAAAAGGCACAACCAGTATTTAGAAGCTGAGAAAATAACGAAAGCAGCAAGACTCACCTCCCCCTTCTTCACAGTCATGGACTGCCGACGAGGAGTGATCTCCTCATTGATGCTGGAGAGGAAGTTCTGTGAGATCCGCAGAGCATCCTGCAGGAGTGGATGATCAGGGTGGCTCACTGGAGTGTGCTTGAGCAAATCCTGACACCAGGAACACAAAGAAAGAACAGAACCATAAGAAGCAGTGGAAAGCAGTAGGCTCCAAGGGCCCTTAACTAGAGCTGTAGGACAAGCTGCTCCAGCCTTTTTTTACAGTTTAGAGTAAGGCTTTATCTCTAGAGGAAGAGGATAATACTCTGCACTTCTTGGCAGCACCACTGAAGAGGTAGCAGCATCCTACCTATGGACTCCCTCCCCTCAGTGTAAAGGGAAGAGGCTCTTATGCAACATGACAGGTTTATTGTTGCAGTCCTGCAGCTCCATGGAAAAACTGAAAGGCAAAGAAAATAGGAAAGGGGCCTAAAGTTTGAAAACTACCCTTCAGATACTTACATGCAGGACAAGTGTGCTGCGGGTCACTCTATCCACTGGCTTGTACAGTAGAGCTGTGAAAAAAAAGCATCAGGAACATAAGGAAGAGGTACCTAGATACAGCCCCTGCAGAGCAACTTGTCCAGTGCAACTGAATGTACAGGCAGAGGTTTATTAACAAGTGAACTACTGGAAAATCCCTTTCTCTAAGGTTAACGTCCTCCACAGTCAGTAAAACACACGTGAACCCACGGAGGAAACAAACATGCTCCGCAACAAGCAGATGCCCACTCGTGAGCACGCCCTGCCAGACAGCAGGCGAGGAGCACACAAGATAGCACAGAACAACCGCACACAACGTGGCACGCTTCCAACAATTCCCTGGCAACCTGCCTGGTCCCACCAGGCAGAACTGGGCCTTGCACTCAAAGTTACCAAAGAGGTCCCCAAAAGGCTGGCAGTGCATCCCTCCTTCTGGAGTTCGGCACAACATGCCAAGTGCTTCCAAATCCTGACAATAGGCCCAAACAGGAAGGGGATTGGCTTTTACATTAGTGAGTAGGCAAGTTTCTTATAACATAGATCATCTTCTACTTATGTGCATAGAGACCAGCACCGTGGAACCTGATCTTGACCAGGCTCTCTAGATGTTACCACTGGGCAAGAAAACATATAACAGTAACTGCTAGGATTGTGTTTGTGGTATGACTGGGTAGCAGATGTTCCCTTAAGATCACAGCAGTCCTTTAGTTGGCCTGGTTTTGCCCAAAGGGACTGATGGGGTTTTAAGCTGGGCAGGAGCTTCCCCATGCATGCATGCAGCTTACTATGCACCAGCTCTGCTACTTAACAGAAGGGAACTGATTTCCCAGCTGGAGCCAGCAGAGACTCCATAAACTTCCAGCATTTAAAAACAAAAAGGAAGAGAAGTTTGACAACAGCCTCCACACAGTGCTGACAAACCACAGTCTCCTCTCCATGGATCACTCACTTTCCAGGGAATTTTTTGTCGTCTGATCTTTAGATTCCTTTGTGCTTCTAGCCTTTAGATTCTAAAAGAAAAAGAAAACACACATAGCAGACAGTCCATCACTTTGAAATATCACACGGGAATGTAAGAGACTATCTGTTCCTCCAAGAGACGGCTTAAGTGTGAATGGAGGACAGCCCTATCCCAGTCAGCGGAGGAAAAATATGCTTTACTTCTTGGTAAATCCACCATTGCCATGTCACAGGCACCCACACATCTCAAATATTAAGCAATTTTCTTAGGAGTGCATGCCAATAAAGACGCAGCAAAGCAGGAAACCAGCGACAGGGATGGCGGAGTTTTTAAATCACCTGCAGGAGAATCACATGTCCACAAGGATGCAGCCATTGTCACAGCATGTGTACACCACCAATAAAGTACAGGACTGGGATTCAGTAGCTCCACATTATAATTCTTTATACCTGTACTCAGTGCTGGACAAGTCAGCTCTCTCTCGTGGAAGAAAAGGAACAACGCCTGTGACTCCTCTCTTTGCACATGGGCTGTGAAGGTACATGCACTAATGCACTGAGCTCTGAAATCCTCACCAGGACACAAATGCAAAAGTATCATCACCATCATTCCAAATACAGGAGATACTAGCATGCTTTCAGAATTATCCTTCAGAAAACAGCAAAACCAAGGGATCGCATTTGCACAGAGCCCAGAATCCTGGGTCTTTAATCTCTATTCTGTCTTCCAGGGACTACCATAATACTATTTATACACACTACTTTTAATAAACAGGAAAGTCCGTTCAATCCATTTTAGTACTGAAAGAAAATCAAACACAGGGGAAGCTACTTCACTAGTGAGTTGACACCACTAGAGCACAGAAGTGGTCAGGCAAAGGACCAGAACCTGATGGAAATCCTCAGGAAAGGACAAAATAGAAGACATTTGCACGCTGATGAGTAGAACAGCAGGTCCCAAAAGCCTTGCTTCCCTCGTTTCACTGATGGAATATGTTCTATTTTACCTCTTTATCATAAAAAATCTAAAGGGACATGCAATATTAAATGTACTCAGGAGTTTTTTCAGAGCAATAAAGGCCCCAAGTATTGTGCAGCTCTGATTATTTATCTGCTCGTTTTTAAGGACACACATATGAAGTTCATCTTTTCTTGGCAACCGAGTTCTTCAAGGTATGATCACTGCAATACAAAGAGTCAACGAGACCATGCACTGCAGGCAAAGCTGGTGACCTAGGAAGCCTGAAAAAGTATTCAGAATGCTTTGACACAAGCTACTCCTCTAAAAGGGAAGAAATCAGATCAGCCCAATGAATAACATTCTAGATTACAGTTGACATACTTGCCTTTTTAAACAGAGAGCTACCCTCTCCTCCTCTCCACACCAGTGAAGCCTGCAATCCCACACACAGCTATAATGCAAGCCACTACGGATGGCTTTTTACACTGCAGTCAGCATCATCATTGTCAAGAGAAACAACTGAGAAACTGAAATACAGCTTTCCCTTCTACAAATGCATGAGGGTGGCACAGAGCTGAGAAGTTCAAAGCAATGCCAGTTTTTACAACAAGGTTCCCTGGGTGGGGACAGCACATAAAAGCTATCTATGTGATAACCTCTGTTAGGCCAATGTATAAATCACTAAGAGCATGCGCTGAAGCAGTGAGTCTACAGGAGCTCACAACTCCTCCAGAAGTCAGGGCTGCAAAGGTACTTGGAGGATAGACAGGAGCAACATCGCAGAGTATTAGTCAGATCCAGACAGCTCATGTGTCTGAATACCGTGACATTACCTCAGAGATTTCAGCAAACTGAGCATTGGCTTGGCAGCATTTCTCTGCTGTCTCCATAGCAACTTCATAGTTATCCACAAAGGCCCGGTACACTCCCAGCTGGCTGGCCTGCAGGAAGCAAAACAAAATAAAATAAATGCTAGCGAAGAAGACAGTTTGGGGTGGCCAGCCTCAGTATCTAATGATCAGGTCACGTTCCTTCACACCAAAGAATCACAGGGAATGCTGAGCAGGCCCAGAAGGACATCTCTGACCTGTCAGCTTTGCTTCTTCAGCACAGGTGCTCCCATGCACTCAGTTCCATCTGTGCTGAACAAGTTCACTTGCGAGGGATGTGGAAGCCTGTGAGAATGACACATCCTTATTACTGCCATCTATTTTTCCCTTCTGAACTGCCAGATTAGTATCTATTAATATTTTAGCTCATTGATGTAACTGGAGCTGCTGGCTATTTGCCACAAAATGTGAATCAGACAGGAATGATTCAGCCCAACATCACAAAAGTGACCCCAGTAAGCTACTTGTTGGCTTTTGCATGATGGACACACTAAATCAAACCCAGATATTAACCCATACCTGCACTAGTGAACATCGTTATAAGGGCAGCAGAGTGCTGAAAATACAGAAGAGCAATCCAGAGCACAATCTGTTTGGAAGGCAATCACTGTAGCACTAGGTGACAGAAACGGGTAGTTTTTCCAGCAGAAGGAATATGCGATGGGTCCAGAAGGAGATGGAGCAGGTCTCAGATTGCAGTCATAAGCCATTATTATCACTGAGTCTTAGCACCGACACCGTTTGCTGACTTAGGAATTGCAGCCATATTCATGCCAGAGAACATAAGATCCAGCTCGGGAAATCCCTGGGTAGCTTCCAAGCTTATCTGGATTGCAGAGCTGGTTTTGTGTTGCAGAGCTGCACAGGCTGTGCTGTAAACACCTCAGCAGCTTGAACATGACTGCCCGGGCACGGTCAGTAACGAGCCAACAGGCAGAGTGCTTGGAAAAGGCTCCATGAAAGAGAGGTTTGTTACCAGAAGAGCTCGCACTTACCTTACAACTTCTGCAACTTCCCTGACAGATCCGCCCAAGAGGTGCAACAGGCAGAGCAGCTAACTTTCCCACAAACAGTGCTCTTCCTCTCCTGCTCTCTCATCATCATTGTGCTCCCCATTCTCTATGCAGCTTTGTGCAAGAGACAATGGAAGAGAAAAGCCACTCTCAGGAGAGCACTCCCTGCACAAATTTCTGTAACTACGAGAGGCTAAGAAACAGCGAGCTATTTCCTAGGGCGCGTTTTACTGAAAGATTAGGAACCAGTCTCAACTCTCATAAAAAAAATAACACAGTTATGACTGAAGCTGAAGGAAACTGCACTCACTTATGCCAGGGATGACCTGGCCCCAGCAGTGTGGAGGGAATAAAATCTGTATTTTCCACTGCAGCACAATTCTGTGAAGAAGCTGCTGATAGAATTACCGATCATTTGCAGGGCTTATGACATTCAGGTTTGGATGATGCCAGCTAACACGGCAGAGCTTTAAAGTTTCCCCATTCCTGTGTGGCTCTTTCATTTCCTGCTACTGCTGAACAGTCTTTATAAGCTTTCATTTTCTTCCTCTAAACATGCTGTCATAAAAACATCTTTTTCATTATCGACTGAGCTTCCAATCAAAGCAATAATGCTGACACACAGTTTTCATGCTGGTTTAAGTTTTCTCTTTTTTCAATTAAAAAGAATACACTGCATATTAAACAAGCTTTGGTAGAAATGACTGGATTTTGGTTAAAATATTTTCCATTCCTGAAAATTATCACTGATGATATTTGCTGAGTATTTTTTCATTTTTAAAAACAGTTCTAAAGTGTTTCCTATCTAGTTACAAAAAATACACACAAAACACTTCCCAAAAATGAGAAGCATATTTTACTCCCACATGCCTAATGTCTTTTTTTTCTTTTCCTTATTTTCAAGAAGAAAAAGGTGGAATAACAGTCACTGATGTTGCAAATGGATCGCACTTTGTGCCAGACCACATGAAGTTCTAAAGCTCCTTTCATGCACTATCTATGACTTCAATCTACAGTGCTTTGTTATGTGTGATATTAGAGAAAATCAATGTCCCCAGGGACCTCAGGATAATAATAAGGATTCCAATGTTTATCATCAGATTGCATGACATGACCACAAGTAAACCATCTGCTCCAAAAGATTTGACGTACATCCGGTATAGATGTCTCCTAATGCCTGATGTTCTTGCTGTCTCTCTCATCTAGCTGCTTCCCACTGACTGCCAAAAATTACTAGGTTTATCTCATCCAGCAAAGAGTTACCAATTCCCACTGACACTGTACCAAACCACCAGAAACCAAAACTGCTAAGCTAGCTCAAATCTTCCTGCACTAGGGCAATTTGCTCCTTTTCTTCAAACACTAATCCAACAAAACCAACAATTCTGTCACAAATGCAGAAAAAACAGGGGAACATAAAAATAGAGTGCCAGAAGGGCTTAAATGTGAAGGGCACCTGTGATCACCATAGGCAAGAAATGGTCTTAAACAAAGGCTTAGGTAGCTGTACAGTGAGTCAAAGCTTGCTCAACAGCCAGCAGTGGGAAAGAATATATTCAGGTCTTCTTCAATTAGTGCTGTCTTCATTGCCGCACTACACTTTCAATGCAGTTTGGGAGGCTTCCACTTCCAGCAGCCTTCTGTATCTTTGCTTCAGCAACCAGCAGCAGGTGGTTCTGCCTTCTTTAACCAGTTGCTCAAAGTGCATACCACGAACTACTCACCAAGGCACCAACTTGACCCCTCCTGGCTAAAACATGCTGGCAGTGAAAAGCAGATTCCCATATTTTGATCTTGAGCTGCTGGCATGCACAGAAAACATCATCTTCCAGGCTCATCTCCTCCTGCTCCATAGGGGATGGGGCTGGTGCTAGGCTACACAGCTGCTAACAACTGAGTGACCCTGATAAAGCGCACTCCCCATCCAATAAACCCCTCACTGGAATGTCACTCCTACCTCAAGAATCAGAGGCACCTCAGGAATGCAGAGATTCTTTTCTTTTCTAAAAAGAAAAAATCAGCTCCTTTAATCCTTTGCTCTCTGCACATGCTAGGGGAGAGGCTAAAGGGGCCAAAGGAACCTCCTAGAATGCAAACAATTTGTCATCTGGCTCAGAAACTCAGCAATTTTAATTCATCCTCAGGAATATGCTGTGTATGTCTTTGTCCTGTTCTGCACTTAAAGAATTTTGTTGAGGTTGCTTGGAGGATTCTGAGCAGCAGGTTAACTGTATCAGCATAGCAGCAAGGGGAATATCAAGGCCAGGATGGTGGCAGAAAAGCAAAGCCAAAGGTGACGACCTCAGAACAAAGAAAATCAGCACAAGACAGAGTAGACCACCACAGAGAGAAGGAAGTATGTGTGAGTGAGTTCAACAATAATGAGAAACACTTAGCTGTCAGTGTTAAAAAGTACGCTTTTTAACGCTGCCATTCTTCCATCTTCCTCTAAAGCAAACGGTTTGACGACACTGCAGACACCCTGGAGATTCAACATTGATGTGAAATTGTATTTGTATTAGCAGTACAGTTTGCTGGAGTCTAACTGGCAATGAAACAGCCACTTTTTCTGTAGGCCCTTCACTGCAGCTAGAAGCCTCTCATCTAACCCAGCTATAGGCTTTCATCGCTTTGGTCTATACAGAGTCACCAAAGGGAATCGTACCAGCACCTGTGAGGTGAATGAGAGGTAACAGAAACTCTGGTGATGGTAGCTGACTCACCAGCTTTTGGAAGAGGTCCCCTACACGTTGCTGGTGGCTCCACTGCTGCACTCGGGGAAAGAGCCCATCATAGAATTCTTTGTGGATCTCATACAGCTCAGGCACTTTGAAGAATATTGTCTCAATCTGCTGACTAGTCAGCACAGGCTGAGAGGTGGTGGCAGCCGCTTTCAAAGGCTTCATAGGCTGAAACGAGGAAAGAAGGAAATCGTTATCATGCAAACCAAGTACATTCACCCTTGCCACATTACAACACATCCCTCCAGAGAGTTGTTTTTCATCCTATTAATAAGTGATATTTGCATTCACACAACTCCTGAAAGCTAGACATTAACAAGCTCTCTCATGGGGATCAGCCACCCCTGGTAGCTGGATTTTCCCAGGATATTAATGGTGCGATTAAAATCCCTTTGCACTCCATTTCCTTAATCTCTGTCCAACTGTACAGTAACATGTCTAATAATTAGCACAGTCTACTGAAAGGCAGGGCTCCTGGATACTAGCACACTAACTCCTCACTGGTCATGCTATAGCTAGTCCTTTCTCTAAGCCTGCCTCTCTCTACTGAAGGAGTAACAGGTACCCTTCGCACCTGGCACCTTGTAACCCATGGTATGTGAAGTTCTGGGAAACACTGAATGGAAGCAGCAGCGAAAATTCAAGTGATTGAAATGGTATCTGCCACCAGCACTTACCAGCAGCAAAGCCTCCAGGTGGCTCAGGTAGGTTTCCTCGCTGGCTAGGATTCCCGACAGGACCCATTTTCTCATCTCCAGGCCCTTCTCCAGGTCTGGCTCACTCTACAGAGAAGTTGTTACAGAGAAAAAAGAAGAAAAAACAAAACAAAAACAAAAAAAAAGAAAGGGGGTGGGGGAAGAGAAAGAAAAAAAACAAGAATGAGGATGGAGTATAAAAGATATCATTCAGCTGACCACAGTATACTTGGTTTTGTTGGTTTACTTTCAGACTCAAAACCCCAACCAAACAAAAAACCCACCTGTTCTCAGTGTCCTGTTTCTAGAAACATGCAAACATAAAACATTAAAGAAATTTTTATTTACCAGCAACTGATGTCATTTAGATTATTTACAGGTGTTACCTTTAGTCATCCAACTTTGGTGCCTCGATTAGGTGCCCAGACTTCTTCATAAGATTCAAGACACAGAATTTAAATTTACCCTCCTAAACAAATCTTAGGGACCCTTCATTATGTGCAATTCAGTCCCTCCTCCCATGAGAGCTCTCTATGATCTTACTCCAAAGCCATGTTTCTCTAAGCAGACAGGATCACTTCCCGCGCACCTACACCGATGTGCACGAACATACAGTAGTTACAGCCTGACACTGCTGTTAAGATGGCTGTTCTTTCTCCCACTCTCTACTATCCATTACATTATTTTTCAGTGCCAGCTTGCACAATGTGCTTTTTTCGTTAGAGGACGGAATAATCAGCACTGTTTGGAATGCACGTGCTGATTTTCTTACCGGGATTCCATGAAAGAGTTCTTAACAAAAACAACTGAAGAGAGAAAAAAACCCCAAAACATTCACGGGCAAATGTACACATGAAGAGAATAACATCAAGCGTTAAGAGAAGCAGTAATCCCCTCTGCTGAATTTCAATTGTCCTTCCTCTCTAAACTGTAACCTGAAAAACGTTTAACCTGATAAAGTGAAATTGAGTATTTCCATAAACTCTGAAAAAAGCAGTCGAACAATGAAGGTTATAAATAATGAGAAACACCCTCCTTTTATGGAATCTTATTTCCAGTTCTTTTTATTTCTGTCATGCACAGAAATGGCTTTTTACAATTTTTGCAGCCCTTTAATGTTGTTAAATGTGTCTAAGAATAGAGCCAGTAGTTGGATCTGAAAGGGTAGGTACTTTTCAAGGGCTTTGGGTAGGTTGTTTGGGGCTCCATCCTACTCCTCTTAATATCCAGAGGAATCTTCAACTATTCATTTCAGCAGCAGGAGGATCAGGAAACACAGCAGCTTGCTCTACTCTATTGACTAAACATAAAGCCCTACAGCTGACAAAAAAAGCTCCATTTTGTTTAGAGTCCTATGCTTTGAACCCTGCAGATGTGTGTATGAGGTTCATTATGGAGAGAAGATATCTTGGCTACAGGTAAGCTTACAGTAACTATCACATTCTGAGTGTGACTTTGAGCCTACGCACCACACAAAGAAAGAAACGAATCCTCACGCTCCCAGATATTTCTGGATTCAGTCTCATCAACCACCATCCTGACTTCTGAATGCTTTCATTAAATTTCACAAGCTTTTTTCTAGGCTAAAAGACCTTGCAGCAATTACTTTAGAAACATTTTGTGAGGTGTCTAATACCACCATCACCTCTTAAATAAAACTGACAGACAGAAGCTGTTCTTAGGAAATGAGTAAAATTTACATGCACATCAGGTACTACATGGAAAGAAGAACTTGCCTTTGCATCCCACCCTTCAGTGAGGTTCAGCAAGAACGACGGTGCCTTTTAAAATCTTGAAAGGGCATCTCAAAGAACCTAGGAATTTCTAATTCAGCAGTCGTGTTCAGCAGATTTCAGAAAAACACCAGTGACAAACTACACGGTAAAATGAATGCTGCAACAGATTCTGTGCATTTACAGAGCACCCGTGTGACTGCCTGTTACAGTTCAAACAGAAACGTGCAACAACATTATGACCATTCCTTGTGATTTCTGTACCACTAGTGTGTGGATGTCCACCTCCTGGACCATTTGGTAAGGCACGGGACACACACATAATCAAGACAGACAGCCCCAAGATGTTTAACAAAGATCGCCTTCATCCAAAGAGGCAGGGATGTAGCAGCCCTGGTGTGAGAAAAACATAGTATATCTTAGTTTACAAAGGTTTCTTACTACACTCACAAAAGAAAAATGCAGCTTCACAAAGAAGCATTAAGAAAAACTACCAGTGCTCCAAAGTCCCCACTGCCGAGGATGAGGCAACTGGTCAATACTGACACAGCACTATAATTATCTTTAGCAGGTTCTCCTGGAGGAGGTGAGGATTTTAAAACCAGCTGGGCATGTTTATAACATCTGTAAACAGCAGTACATAGTAGCAAGTTATTCAAATGATTCAAACTTCCTCATCACAACAGTGGCACAACAGTTTTCCTTCTAGCACTGAGCACAGTTTTCCTCTTCACAAATAAAAGCTTTAATTTACTAGCCAGTTCTTGCTGGGCACCGTCAGCTGACAGAGACAGCATTTTCTAAAAGAGGTGTGCTTTCAGAGCGACCAGCATCTCCCAGGACACGCTAGAGGCCTTCCTTCCTGGCCATTACCACAAGGTCACTTTGCAAAGTCCACAGTATTGTCCAAACCCTTTTTAATAGGAGCATTTTCCAAGCACGATGCTTGCAAAACTCTACCCTCAGATGCAGCCAGACAGGGCAGGGCCTGGCTGCTTTAAGCTACAGTACAGCAGTTGCTGAAGAAACCCTCAGGGGACTCTATCCAACAATCACACAGCACATTACAAGGTTTCCAACGCAGTACCTCAAATTTACACACAGATTCCTCATATGTGAAATGACCTCCTGCTGCTCCTGCTGTATCAGGGATCGATACGACACCAAGTCTGCATTGTGCTGCCGCTCTGTGTGTCCTGCCGAGAGCCAGGGCCCCGACTAGAGCTTCCTGCTGAGGGAGGCCTTTTCTGACAAAGTCATCTGGGGCTGCACCCAGCAGCAGCTCTTGCTGCTAGATGAACATGTGGAAAACAGCCCCTGTGCTTCTTCAGCCGCAGGGCGCTTTTTAAGTCACACTTGTTATGAAACGTACTCCAGGACTGAGGACCTCACTAGGAGCTGGTGCCAACATCAGGAAGCAAGGCAAGTTTATTACTTGGTATTCCAATGTTCCTCACTTACAGAACTGAGAACAGGCTCACCTGCTCACCCAAAACAGGGCAGAGCAATTAGCAGGCAGAGATACTGCGAGACTGTCCTTCCAGTCTCCCCCTGCAGCACACCAAGGTGTGACGCACCCAGTGCCAAGGGCATGTTCTGCTTTGCCCATATCTGACAAAAAAAAAGGGAAACAAAGAGCAATTGTGTGACCACGAGCCTCACTGACTGCTCTATTTCTGCAGTCCAGGCAGAAGGGCAGTTAAGAGAGTGAGCATCCTGGGCGTAGGTGTCAAGCTCCCCACCAGTTCAGGGAGACCTGCCAAAGCTGAGGACTCCTTTCCCCTACACTGGCAAGAAGCAAGCAGCCAGAAATCTCTGAGCTGCTTGTGGCAAGGGGAGGAGCTGGTACCACATGTACCAGACCACATTAGTGAGGGGAAAATACACCTATTAACCAAAGTGCAGATGGGATGTTCCCAGCAGGATGTGGGAGCAGTCTGCACTGGCAAACTCTAACCACTCAGCAGGGAGTGCCAGCTGGTCAGCAGTCCATCCCTTGCTTCCTACCCAGCTTGGTCAGCCTGCTTTTTACTCGTACAAGTTTGACTAGTATTTCACGTTCTGACTCTGTCCCTACCTCTTTGATGCCAGCACCCATTTCTAGCCTTTCTCCATTGCCCTTCCATCTTTTGGCTACCTCTCCACTCACACATATCAGAATAAATCTCTTACAAGACTATCATAGGGCAGCAGCCAGAGCATTCCTGTCTGTCTGCCATGTGAGCTGTGAGGACCCAATGCACAGCCAGTTCTAAACAAGCAAGCAAGAAATCAGGGCTCCGCTCCCACTTCTCACGAACCACATTTAAAAAAAAAAGAAAACAAAAAGGAAGGTGGAAAGCAGTATAAAGGAAATTTCACATGTATCTCATGCCTATAAGGTTCTGGTGTTTTCTTCTCAACTGGGTGGTGCTTCTTGCTATTAAAGACTTAAAAACCAAAAGATTGTCACAGTCATAGGTGCAATCTTGGGGCCTGAACCAAGGCCAGTCAGAGTGGTTAGAAGCACTGAAGATATTAGAGAGCGTGTGCACACTGGCCCCGAGCCATGGATGTTTTGAATGTGTTTACAGCTTGTCAGCCTAAGCAGTTTAGTTTACTAACCAGGTTGGCATTGCATGTTGTATTCAATTACTGCAAGTCTGAGATTCACCAGCTCCGTAGATAAGACAGATTCAACTCTTTCTGACTCTGTTTAAAGAACTCTGGCCTTCCTGGTTGTTGTTTAAATTAACAGCAATAATTGTTTTCTTGCAAATGTTAGAAGAACACAGATTAAGAATCTAAAAACCACAACATGTAAGATTTTGCAAAGTACTTGCTGCCAGCACAGCTCTGCAAAGAGAATCAGTGATTCAAAGTGGGTGTATAAAAGGCACTTTAACTCTCAGACCTTCCTTTGGTACAGTATGTTCATATGCTGCGCAACGAATGTGTTCAAAGAAGAGGTTTCCCGAACGGACAGCTCAGAATCTCACAGAGAAGCTGACAGCCTATGAAAGAGAAAAACTATTCATTTCAATTTGTAAAGTATAAATATCTTTGAAAGCTTCTGCTAAACAGGCTAGAGGTGTCTCACTGTCTTGGTGATACTAAACAGGGCAAATTCTGTAATCAAGGCAGTCATCCAGTCATGCTCCATGCTGGGAGGGGAAGGAGCAGGGAGAGGAGCCAGCATTATTTATAACATCAGTACTGGTGTGCCAGCTCTCCCCAGGAAGGGCTGTACATCCAGGCAGAGCCCTTAAAGAGCAAAGAGTTGGAGAAGAAAAAGGAAAAGTTGCATCTGTTAGGGGTGGTGAGGGGAAAGTGACAGTAAAATAAACAAAAACAAATACCAAGAGGAAAAAAGAA